AGCTTTCACTCTTCTGGGAAGGCTTTCCACAAACCTTTGGAGTGTGTCTCTGGGAATTTGTGCCCATTCAGACAAGAGAATATATGTAAAGTCAGATACTGATGTTGGATGAGAAGACCTTGCTTGTAATCATCATTTCAATTCATCCCAAAGATGTTCAGTAGGGTTGAGGCCACTTGAGTTCCTACACAGGCCACTCAACCTCCTACAAAGAAAACCCATAGCTACATTTAACTATACACGTAAAGCTACAGGGTAAAGATTAGTGTCTCCACTATATTTGGTACTATAATGGCTACATGAGAATTTCTGTTATTGAGAGCTGCAGGTACAAAGTTTGATATTACTGCTGTGATCCAGTTAATTCAAGTGCATAAATTCCATGCAGAACAGGTGCAGAGGAGCAATCCGCTGGTCAGGGTCTAATTGCACTGACCAATCCTTACTCCAGTGGCCTTTGTGACTTTGTTGTGTAAAGTGCACGGCAGACACAGTCAAGTCAATATCATTGGGGCAAAGCAGGTAGAATCTTTCTGTCAGGGCCATGTGGCTAGCACAGCAGTATTTTTCCACTACGGAAGTAGTCCCACATGGCAGTGTGTCCAACATACCAGTATCTATTATATAGAATGATTATTAAGGCTGTGTTATGTGATAGTGCTACCTTATTATTGGCCATTCATGATTTTTGCTTGATAATTTTGTGACCCATTATGTAATATTGTTGTCGTATCCAATTTATAAGTTCATGATATTTGATTTTATATAATTAGTCTAATAAGTGGATTTGTGAAGTCTTATTATGTGATTATATGTTCTTCATATTCACTGATTTTACGTCACACATCATTCTAACGGAATCTCTGTGCTGTAGCCTTGGGGTCTATGTTGACAGACGTATGTTTGCTTCAAGAAGTTTTTGCATTCCCATACAAGTACAGGGATGCAAAACCCACTTGAAGAAGGTCAAACGCAGGTCAGAAGGAGGTACACTGTAGGTCAAATGATCCTGCCAATGAATTCTGAATGATCTCAGAAGCATCTGAAACCGATATTAAGCTGATGCTATTGACACAAGCCCAAGCCAATGGACACAGAACCTTAGATATATCAATGGCCTCCAAAACATTTACATGGGGCCCAATGACAATCTTTAATGAAATTGTCTATGGGGAGGCTATTTTAAGATTACTGTGAGCCGTGTTGTGTAACCTATGTATAAGGAGCAGAAATAGCCACACGTCCTAGTTTTTAGGATCCTGCTATGTGTATGTCTTTCAGGGCTTGTATAAATAGGCTCTGTTTCCCTGCATTTGACATGCATTTGAAAAAGTTCCCATTTAGCTCAATAGCACAGAATGGATGACAGTTCTGATGCTGTATTTGACCAGCTACGCTTTGCAGTTATTTAGGTCCTAATGAGATGTGTTTGCATTGCAGGAAACACAGGTCAAACACAACCTTTTGATCTGTTTGACATTTAAACATGTGTTTTATCAACAATGCGTTGAAATGCAACAGGCAGTTTTTGACAACAATGCTCCATCTGCATGGGCCCTAAGGAATTTCCAAAAATAAAAAAATCTGGAGAAGTACCAAACATCAATTCAACTCTTTTTCCAAAATATCATTCTCCTGAATTTGCAATCAAGATTCACTAGCACATTCACACCCTAGAGGTATTTACCCACATCTGTATTGTTGCCTTTTTCAATGAGAAGTGCTGTTTTTTGTAACATTTGCCATATTTATAATGCAACATAAGCAGATATCACATTGAGCTAATAAAAAAACAGAATGCCTATGGAGATTCAAACTGCCCAACTCTATCCAAAACTTTTTTTTTTTTCAGTTCTGGATAGAATGTGGAAGGAATTAACTCTGCGAGCTTTTTATATGTATGTTAGGTTTGCCATTCTTTTAATAAACAACGTATTTCTATGCTAATATAAAAAATTGTCAGGGCATATACTCAACTTCAGTAGAATCAATTGCAGCTTATATTATACCCCAAGATGTCCATATCGGACCACTTTTTTTTAAGGTCTCTGCCTCCTAACATGTATGTGCCCAGTGCTACCTCCAGATTGCCTTCTATGTAATCCACCACTGAGGTGGTCACTAATAGAGTAATGCCTTCAATCTACACTGACCATGACATATTTTAAAGGACAATTCAAACTGAGCATATGATAAAACAAACATAAGTAGAAATTACCTTGTTACCATTGTACACCAACACAATGAGTAGATTCAAAGATACAGGGACCTTAAATTTATAGGCAAATATTAACTTTTACTGCCCAGTCCCCTCCCACCTGCTGAGCCTTCCTTCTGGTCCTTTAATGTGATGGGTATCCTCAAAGACCTGTAGGAAGAATTGAGAGGCAGGAGGGATAGGCCAAGCTTGTTTTACAGGAGGACTGGAGTTCTGCATATACTATACAGTAACTTTGGAGCTACTGTTTTTTTTGGTATACTACTTTCATTGAAGATAACCTCTGATCATGGATATGTATTCACATGCTGTCTAAATTGCCCACATTGATGAGACGTCTACCTTAAAACCACAATGAGCATATATAGAATGAAATTCTGAAGGGAAATCTCACCTACCACATCCCTGAGAATTTTAAAGCGACTTCTTCTTTTGTTAAACAAAAGAAAAACATAACAAACCAGGACCTGCAAAAGAAGAGGGTTTAAACTTATCCATCCAGCCAGCAGTACCTCCAGTGTTGGCTCTGTTCAAGAACCACATCCGCCTTCACATTCGACTATTCTGGAGTTTTCAGGTGCCTGAGTCCCCCACAGAGTGATGTGCTTTCTTCCGCTGATCCCAGTGCTCTGTAGTAATGTAAGGGCCTTTGAAAGGAACCACAGCATGCAGCAGGCAACCAGGCATCTGACACACTCGGATGTGAAGAGCAATAAAGTGAAGATTGGAGAAATGGGTGGCAGGACATGTAAGTTCTTCTTTTGCAGGTCCTGGTCTAATCAATTAACCAAGTGACAGAGGACCAGGTCCTGGTCCATTTTTTAACCAAGTGACAGAGTCGTTTTAAGAAGCCTTACAGCATCCATTAAAATATTTTTATAAACAGCTTATAAAGTATCATACATTTAAAAATACTGCAGGTGACATATCGTTGCTCTAAATTAAGCTAGAACATTTGTTTTAGGTGTTGATTTGTAGTCTAACAGTAAACAAAGCTCCACTCAGACCAAAAAAAAATCTAAAATCTGCAAAAATCAATCTTACGGTACAATGCCTAGCTATTACCCGATGGATTTGTCACAGCGAGAGACATATGTCCATCCTATGCATACAAATGATGAAAAGCTATGCCATTTGTACAATCACGCATGTAATATATTGACCAACTGAACTGCTTTAAGTCACTATTTCACCTGTTGCTTTTGATCCACAAAGAAAAAAATTACTTGCAAGCGAGACCATGTTTTATCGCGTTTCCATTTCCGGATGTTGCTGACTTGAAAATGAGCACATCTGAGCAGGCAGTCACTCTTTCATTCGATAAATTAGCAGCTGAGAGTTTTGTGCCATGTGACCTCCAGAGTAGCCCATCTGGTAGAGGACATCATCCGTAGTGTAAGGCACAATATGATATGACCTCAGCTCCTCATAGTACAGAGATTGAGAATAACAACCTTTTACCATGAGTTTCATCCGTTTTCGAGTGTCTGTATAAGTGCTCTTGTTGCTGGGGACCCCCTTGTAGTATTCATAGTTCTCCTTATCAGATTCCAGATGGATTTTCCTGAGCAGGTTATTGATCAGTACCGACCTCCGTAGATAGATTTCGGGGTCTTCCAGGAACCGGAGCTTCTCCAGAGAGAGTTTAAGAATGCAGGTCCGGTCTTCAGGTGATATCAGGTGCTGCAAATGGAAACCACCAAGGCGTTACTCTTTCAATATGCTTACTAGTTCTTCTACTTTAAGTGTATCTAAAGCCAATGATTTTTTTCATCTTGGATAAACTAAAGAATGGTTAGTATCTCTTAGGTTTTTATTGCTGACTGTCCCCAATAGGGAGATGTATCTTCTCTATTTGTCCTTATGATCATTGTGGGAAAAGATCCAACATTTGTAATTGTCACTGGAAGAGAAATGAAGGAAGAATCCTCCATACGGGATACTTGTTCCAGTGAAAGCTGTCTAAGAGGGGATTTCCCTCCTTTGGAAAGATTTACTTGAGAGGATCTCCAAGACAGTAACTGAAGGATCATAAGCACCTTTATGTTATTTTTTGCAAGCAAATACAACAAATTTAATATGTCATCTGTTCCTCCTCCTCAAAAACACATTCTTACCCTCTCTTTGCCCCTGTTACCCCAGTGCTCTATTCAGAAAATACATAATTTGGTGCCAAAGTGGCCAATAACTAAAAAGAGGAGAGAGTCACATGCTCCCAAAATATTATGAAGTATTGGGTATTTCCCAGTGTCCAAGCAGAGCAGCAGGGGAATGAAGGCAAGGTATGACCTGCTGGAGAGGAAGGCAGTTAAATTAACCTGCATGGGCATCCAATGTTCACTAGAAAACTGAACTCGAGGCAGAAATAGAAAAATAACACAATTTTTGTTCCATTTTTGTACACAATATAGAGTCATTAAATGTATTTTACAAAAACTAGCATAAGCACCTTAGTCTATCTTGGTAGTCCTGTGATCCCTTATGCAGCAGCACTAGAAAGGGAAGGATCAGTATTTTGAGCTGGTCAAAGTCTACCGCTTTGTCAGTTTAACACTGGGAATATGCTTATAGCAAGGGATAGCACAGGGATGCCATCATTAGTGCAGTGATATGTTGTAATTTCTAGCCTGTGAGTCATTGCATACAGTATACATAACCTCATATCCCAATTGCACATTGGGGGACTGGGCCGAGGAGAACAGAGCAGCTCTTTAGATTGTAAGGATAATTGCAACCAAGTTGAAAGCCCTGTTTGCAGAATGTTGTTGTCTTTACAGGTTTTCAATATATAGTTAGCCTATTTTATTTCCCAATATGCTGTATAAGTGCAGTAATCCTTTCATTATCAAGAGGTTAAAGTTACATATAACACAGCACACTCACTTTTGGAAAACATCCTTGATAATCTTGATGTACAGTCTCTTCTTCTGCATATTTCCTCTTAAAGTAGGCTACTTTCGACGTTGTTAATGGATTTATCTTTCTTACGATAGACCTGCAATATGAAAAGAAAATTAAGCGGCTCTTGGATTATTTCCTAAAGTATATGTAAACCTAATTACTTAAACATGCTAATGCCATTTCAAAAAGCATACTCATACTCGCCCAAATGCTCCCGATCTCGATACTGGAATTTCTGGTATCAGGTAGCCGGATGGCGAGTCATCACACGCTACCTGGCTTCCTGATTGGCTCCACGCTCCCTCGCCACCTGAGAGCATGAGGCTGGCTTCCCAGCAATCAGGATGTCGGGGGGCGGGTAATGACTCGCCCCCCTGTTTCCTGATAGGCCAGGAAGCCGGCTCCATGCTCCCTCATCACTTGGTGACGAGGGAGCATGGGGCCGGCTTCCCAGCCAATCAGGAAGCCAGGCACCATGTAATGACTTACTGCCCAACCTCCTGATTTATCGGGAAGCTAGCCAAATCAGGAAGCTGGGCAGCAAATCATTACCAGCTCCCCGGCGTCCTGATTGGCCAGAAAGCCGGCTCAATGCTTTCTCGTCACCTGGTGATGAGGTAGCATGGAGCCGGCTTCCTGGCCAATCAGGATGCCAGGCTCCATGTAATGACTCGTCGCCTGGCTTCCTGATCAATCAGGAAGCCAGGCGGCAAGTCATTACCTGCCCCTGGGCAGTGGGTAACACCAATGGGTAACACCTATGTGGCTCACTACCCATTGGTTCTGAGGAAGGAGGCGTGTCCTCTGAAACACATCAACCAGCTAGGACATACAGCTTGTCGGCAGGACCGGATTATTACGATTTTAGTGTTTACGTTTGATGACTCACATTCTATGCCTGATTATTCCATCTGTTTGTGAGTATGCATTTAGCATCTTTTATATCATCACATTAAAGCAGTTTTACACAATGGAGTCGCTCTCTTTGTTTTTCATTTCAGCTTTATGGTTATCCTAGACCAGCGGGAGCTGCCTCGAGAGTCTATATCGTTGCTTTCGTGCACAGCTACTGGTGCTGGCACCTGTGGTATTACCTTTTTGTAATTTACTGTTAAACCAGAAGCTCGATTAGGGCATCATAAAAAAATGCCACCACGACAGTGGAATGAGGACCCAGCAAATGATCATCTGACCTCTAGTATAAATTGTCCTGTAACTCCCAGAAAGGCCCTTGTGCAGCTGCAACAATGGTGGTCAAGTCACTTGGGGGCAGGAGGCCTCAAATGTAGCCCTGGATATTACCAAAGGGCCACATATATTTAGTATAGGTAATGCTACATAAAGTGGTCAGAGACTGCAGACATATTATAAGATTTGTTGGAGACTAGGGACATGCTTCAGGAGACACATTACATCAGACTGCTAGAGATTACTACTATTACAGCTTCTTTATTAGGTACGTGCATCAGCTTGGTGTGAACGAAGTTATCCCACGTTCGTCTATGCCTGTGCAAATCTGTGACACATCTGTCAGTGACCCATCCTCTTTCTGGCCCAATCAGCTGCGGCTGGGTAATGCCCTGGCCACAACTGATTGGGCTGGGGGGAATGTGTAACTTACAATTTTTCATGGGCCTGGGTGAATTCGCCGGGCACCAAGCCCACGCACATCCCTACTTTATACATATGAGTGTTTCCCCATTTGTGCTACCAAAAATTACTTCCACATTTTATATTGCGCTCAGCAAGATCTATTATAAAAGATCAGAGGAATAAAGCCTAAAAATAGAAAAGGGATACACAGCACAGAAAAATAAATCTGATTACTAGAAGCCAGTCTAAAGAATATTTGTCCTTCACTGGCTTGAGTAAGCACCATAAATGTTTGTGTGCAGGGGGCCCGAGGGCCACTAAATTATTGCCATGGGGGGGCATGTGGCCCCAGTGCCGCAGGTTGAGCACCAAGGGTCTACACTAATAGTACGTCCGTCCCTGTGACTCTGCAGCTCCTCGTAGCTCAGAATTAGCCAATCACCCACCTGGAAGTCACAGATCAATCCACAGCGCATCTCATTCAGGACCCATCAGCAACGTGTCTCAGCCATTCGCAGCGCACTGTGATCATTTCTTTAAAAGCTCGCCTGTTGAAAATAAAGTACCGTAAGTGTACACACTACTATATTAAACCCGATAGGAAAATGGTGATGCAACAGCCCCCAGGTGACACAACAATAGCATTAATGAGCTGAGGGCTATTCCTACCTGTAATGTTGTCTAGTTAATGACGGCTCAGTCACATGGAGGTGTGTTAACGCTGTGCAAACAACTTTAATTATCCTTAGTTTTCCACACTCAGAACAAGGTCTAAAAACAGATCCCTTTAGTGGATTCTTCTGTTTTCATGGACTTCCCTGCCTTCTCTGTCTCCACCATCTAGCAAAATTAAAGCATCTGCATCAAGGTGGGCAGGGCCGGATTTACTGTCTCTGCTGCCCCAAGGCCAGGTTCCTCAATGCGCCTCTTCCCGCCAAACCCCCCACCATTGGGAATGGCAGACCTGCAGGCTGCATACAAGTGATCTCGGTGACATTGCTGGGATCATTTGTTAAAAACAAGCGGCGGCTTCCCCGCTGTACATTTAGCTCTGCATTGTCCAAAGCAGGGCTAAATGTAGAAAACAACTACCTGCTCGGTGCCCGGAACTGCATGTCCTGGGCATCGGGAGATAGAAATTCCACACCCATGCTGCCTCTCTACTCCCTACTGCCCCAAGGCCAGGCCTCGGTTATCCTTGTGGGAAATCCGGCCCTGAAGGTGGGTTGTATACGTAACAGGCAAAGACTTCCACCAGGACAGGATATGCAGTTATTATTTTAACGAAAGCTGCCTTTTTAAGAAAATATTAAAATGACCTACAATGTGTAAACAGTCTAATGAGAGCGCCAAACAAATATCGAGGATCCAGGATTTATTCAAATTAACCCATGCAGTGGGGCTACCCCTGCATTGCAAGAGTTAAGTGCTCGCTTTTGCCTAGGAGTGAAGATAAAGAAGATTCTAAGGTTACCCCGGTGTTCACCAGGAAAACCAACATGGGCAAAAGCTAATGCACCGGCATTCGTGCACATAAGTAAATGTGCACTAGTACTCATGCTCACAATAGTTAGGTTTGGTGTTCGCACACACGGGCGTGTAGGCGTGCACACGTATAGGTGTGCTCATTGGCACCAGTTTGTCTATTTAAACCAGCATGATTGGTGATTGGTCTTCACCTCGTTCCCGTATCCCTGTGACCTGATCTGCAACTCTGTTTCCTGAAAGACGACCATGGCTTGTGACTTTGACCCCGCTTTCGTGTACTGATTACTGAATGCACTCAAGCATCCGCATGGACTCCCCAATAACTGCATCCCAGGCAGTCACATGTTCCTGCATCCTAACTCTTCCTGTCACCATCTTTAGGAGTGTGGGACAAGGTTTGCAAGCCAGTCTTCCCCTGCTCAGCTGTTTCCATTCAGGTACGTGACAAAGATATACTCACCTGATCCTTGCTCATGTAGCAGTGACCTCTCACCTCTCTCCCCCTCCACTCCACCTGCCGCATGTCCCTCAGCATCCTCATGTCTAATGGATCTGCATTAGACATGATGACATAACGGGTCTTCACACCACTGGACCCTGGGGAAGAAGAGGCAGCAGAGACTGTTCTAGCACTCAGGCGGGACTGAAGATGGAGTAAGTATATGTTCTTTATTTTCATCCCTAGAAAAAAAACAAGCATTTAACCCTGCAAGGGTTAATTTTAATAAATCCTGGAGTTCTCCTTTTATTGGTTCACAATATAAAGACAACCAACACGTTTCTGGGGCCACACAAACTCCCCCTTCATCAGGGCTCAGACCTATTGACTGTGAATAAATAAACTCAGATAAGCAGCATTTCAGCAGGAGTTCATCTTTGCTGTAACACAAGATGCCACGGTAATAGTGACATAGATACAACATTACGCCTGTGCACTCATATAACTGTGTGATTTTTATGTACAGAGATCTTTTATGACTTAGCAAACCTTTCGGCGGTTGTTTTCATCCATTACCGTACGCTAGCAACCCTGGTGTGAACTGAATTGTCTAACAGCTGTGTAAATGCTAGCAGCCAGATAAACCTGCCTACTTGATGAAGGGACATTCAACAGCCACCGAAAAAAATAATAATTGCAAGAGTAATTTAAAATCTTGTTGCAGATAAAAGCAACCTGAGCAATATTCTCACTACAATTATATATATA